AAAAAAAAGGCTAAAAAAAATAAAAAAAAGGAGGCTAAAAAGGTTATAAAAAAAAAAAATAAAAAAATAAAAAAAAAAAAAGTAAATACTACTACCCTGCTTATACATGTTATTTAATTTACCTATTATTTATATTAGCTTATAATTATAGTAATAATAAACTTTAATATTATTATAGCCGGGCTAGTTACTATGTCCCGTGTTATAGCCCTTATAATAAATAATCTTATTAATAAAGCTAGTTTTAAGGGTGTTAAATATAATAATAATAATAAATAAATAATTTTTTTTAATTTATTTTCCCTAGGGCTAGACCCTAATAATAAAAAAATTTAAATTTACTTTAACTTATTAAGTATAGTTAATTATAAATATTATTAAAAATAGCTTATATAAACCATAGGCGGAGATTTAGTGTTTAAAGGCAAGTATTTAATAAAGTATTAATATTATTTTAGTTTATTAATACCTTTTATTTAACTTTAAACTAATAAAATTAATTACTTAATAACTTTAAAAGCCTTACCTAAAGTATATTATTATAATTTATAACCTGCTAGTTAAACACTATAATTTTATTTTATTATTATTTAAGTTATATTTTACTTTTAATAAGTAATAAATAGCTATTACCTTATTTATCCCTGTAATACTTAAAACTTAACTTTATAATATTAAGTTATATATTAATATAGCTACCTTTTAAAATTAAACCTAATTATATTATTTTTTTAATATATTATTATAAAAAATAATTTATAATTATATTATTTATTATATTTTTATACTTTATTATAAAACTATTGCCTGGCGCCCTGGCCGCGTAGTATATTATAAACTATATTAAAATTATAAGTAACTATTACTAGCAAGCACTAGCTAAAATACCATTAATATAAAAGCTAAAATTACGGGTTAAACACCTAAATACTACCTTTATATTATTTAGTAATATAAAGGTAATTATAGCATAAATTATTAAAAAGCGCCCCTTTACGCCCTGCGTTTAATATATAAAAAAAAATAAATTATTTATAAATTATATTATTATTTATAGGTTACTATCTAGCGCCTGTGTTAATTATTATTATACCTTAAAGGGTAAATATTATAATTATTATAATAAGTACCTTAATTAATAGTTTGCAAAGCTAGTAACTAACTATAATAGCTTAAAAATTAATATTAAAAATACTACTATTACTGCCCGTGCTGTAAAAAAAAAATATATAAAAATAAAAAAAAAAAAGAAAATAATAACCGCGCTATAAAGTAGTTATAATATTATTTAATAAATAGCTAAGTATTTACTTAAATATTAACCTTAGCTTAACTATAGACCTGTGGCCGTGCTAAATAGCTTTATAATTTATTTAATATAATAGCTACTTAAAAAAACATATTTATTACTGCCTAAAAGGTATTTATTAAAACATGCCTTAATATTATAATTAAGTTTATAAAAAAAGCAGGTTTACTAGTAAAAAAAAAAGGTAAAAATAAGTTTTTTAATTTATTAAATAATTTTAATAAAAAGTTATTAAAAAATAATTAGTATTTACAAGGCCGGACCCTATTTAATAAAGCAAGTTTAAATTATTATTTTACTTTTAAATTTATACCTATATTATTATTACTCTTGTAGTAAGAAATATTATTTATAATTATAATAAATATATGTTAGTAATGCCTTAAATAATTATTTTCACGCCTTTATTTCTTGGTATTAAACAGGCTATTAATTAACTAGTTATAGTTAAAAGATTTTTTAAATAATAGTTTTTTAAGTAACTATACACGCGATATAACCATGTATATAAAACCTAGTAAAAACTTTTTATATATAATAAGGTTTAAAATAGCTTGCTTAATAGTAACCCCCTAAGCCTTATAAATTATTATTATATATACTAGTATAGCTAGGAACTGCGTACAAGTGTAAATAATATTATAATAATAAAAATTTTACCTTACGTGGAAAATTAGCACTATATTATAGCTATTATTTTTTTTAGCATGTAAATTATTATACTAATTAAAAGCTATTATTAAAGTAAGTAATACCTTTTAAATAGGATTTATAGTTCCTAATAATTATATAATATTTATTAATATACTTATAGTATTATTTACAAGACCCCTTTATATTTAAATATTTTATATTAATATAATATAATAATTAAAAAAACTATAAGCTTTTTAGCTAGGTTTTTAGCCTGGTTTATTTTTATAATTATAGCACTAAATTTAATATAATTAGCTTATAAAATAATTATAGGCTTACTAAAGTTTAACACATGGTTATATTTATACTAGTATATATTATTTTTTTTTATATATATAAATTATATTTTTAAAGGTATTACTCTTGCCCGTAGGTAACTTAGCCTGTACTTATATTATAAAAAGCTTTTAGTTTTTTATTATAGTAATATTTTTTTTAAGCGCGTTAGCATAAAAATAAATATATAAGCTATTTAAAAGCTTGTGGTCTAATAATAAATAATATTTAGCTTAATAATAATATTAAATTAATTATATAAATACTAACTAGCCTTTTTTTTATTTATAAGTAAAAACATAGCCTTAAAAAAAGGGCTTTAATTAACTAAAAGTAGCTAGTAAAAGTCCCTAGCTAAAATAATATTTAAGCTACTAAAGGGTTTAGCTTTATAATTTAAAAAAATTTTATAATATTATTAATTAATATAGTGTAGCTATTTTAAACCTACTATAAATTTTTTATTAATAATTAAATATAATATATTGCAGAAACTTGCCTGCAAGGCTAATAGTATTAAAAACTATAAGTAATTATAACCCCCCTTGCCTTTTAACATAACTAGTAATTAAAATAGTAAGTATAAGGTTTAGCTATTAATATTATACATGGTAATACTAGTTAAAGCGGCCTGTATAATAATAAAGATTTTATAATTACTAGTATAAAAAGCTATATATTTTAGGATTATAAATAATAGGCTAATAATATAAGATTTACTAGTGCCAGCCTTGCTATTTAAATTAATTAATAATTACCTTAGTAAAAGTAATAAATATATAAAAATAAACTATTACTTACTACTTATATAAAAAACTAGTAAACCGCGTAACTATAAAATACTTTTATAGTATTTAATTATAATATTATATAGCTAGTATTACTTAACCTTTAGGTTATTTAAATAAACTAATAAATAAGCTAATATATTTGCTAGGTAATTTACCTTTATTAAATTTTAAAATTTTAGACTAAAACCAGGTTTTTTTACATGCTAAATTTAATTATATTATTAATTAATATTACACTGGCCTAGGCTATTAAGTTTTATAAAAAAATTATTATTATAGCCAGGCTACTAAGCCGCTATAGCCTTTTAAAAAAATACCTTAATAGTTAGGCTAGTGTTATTATTTTAAGTTAATAAATTAGTTTTATTTTTTATATTTTTATTATTTTACATGTAGCCGTCCTTTTTATAATTATAATATTTATAGTAGTATT